ACGTACCAAAATTCGTTTTAGGTTGGGGTTAGATTAAAATCAATGCATCAACAACTTGTAAATTATGCATACGAGGTTGTAATTCATAGTTCTTTTGAAATTATTGCATGAAATGGTTGTACATTATGCTTTGTGACTTCTCTTTAGAAGAAAGGTATGCGAAGGCAAAAAGGAAGGGTTGAACATAGCGGCATCCTCTATTTTCAGCGGATTACCCGTTGGTGCATTACTTTTCGGCGCATTTTAAAAAAAGTTAACTTCAATTACATTATTTTACCGGCGGATTACCGGCGGCGGCTGTTTGATTAATCAAAAATCTGCCGGTAAAATAATGTAATTAAAGTTAATTAATCTGCTAAATTCTAGTTTTTAGATATTCACCGGAAGTCTTACCGAAATAAAAATATATTTTTTTTCTAAGTAGATTACTAGCGGAGGTCAACAAACGTTGGCTTTTTTAACATCTGCCAGAAATCCGCTTCCATCGGAAAAAGTCAGTTTTTTAGTAGTGAAATAGATGGAAAAAAACATAAAGCTTGTTGCTAGAAGTGTTGAGATTTAGTTCTAAAATGAGTTATACTACTTGTCAAATCTTGATGTATTGATGATTACAAACGTCCAAATTCACACACCAAACCTAACCTTTTGTGATTTGCGACGACAAAAGTCGTCGCTACAGATCTAATGAAATTTCGTCATTATTGGTCTATTACGACTACCATTGTCGTTGTAGAGCTCATCAATGTTCGTCCATAGCTATAGCAACGAAAATCGCCACTAAAAACTAAAAATTCAAAATTCAATCTGATTGGTTTGAGTTTGGGCTCCAAAGGTCAAAAATATCTAGAAGTCTCAGGTTCAAATCCAAAAGGAATAAAAATCCTCTTGTGCTCACGGAGGTTCAAATACGTCGACTCCGGATTACGTGCAAAGCAGATGGTCGTCTTGAAATTAATCGACTCGCATAACGTGTTGAATATCCTGGTTAATAAAAAAAATTCAAAACTCACTTTTTTTCTACCACAATAGCATGTCATTACAGGTCAAAAATATATAATAAACGTTTTTCTTTTATTAATTTTTAGTGAGAAACAAGTTTGGAAACAATCAATTAGTTAATATAAACATATAAAATAGTCAAAATCAACAACAAAGGTGGTGTCTGATTGGTTTGAACTTGACTTCAAAGGTCAAAAGTACCGGGAGCCCCCAGGTTCAAATCTAAGAAGAAATAAAAATCTTCTTGTGGCCACGTAGGTTCAAATACGATGACTTCGGGCTATCTGCAAAGCAGGTGGTCGTCCTGGGATTAGTCGACACGCTTAACGGGTTGGATATTTAAAAAAAAACATTCAACACCTACTTTGAACATCTGTGCATGCTAGAATATATGTTTTCATGTGTGGCTAATCTCTGAACTGTTGTTTTCCATGAGAATTTCTCCATCCAAATGCATGCCGCTGGCAGTTCCGGTTGTACCCCCAAGCAAGGTCTTGATCCATCCGTGTTGACACTGGTTCCCGGTGCATCAATAGTAAAGTATTCAAGACGTGTGTTGTCACAATTCAATATATTCAACCCGTACTCAAGACGTGTGTTACCATCGCCCTTGGCACCTTTAGGTTTTACATCGTCGACTACAGCAGGGTTCCTCGCCATTAACGCCATAAGAAACAAACAACATACAACTCGTCGAGACTAGACGAGCTTGCATTACCATTTCAGTTAAGTTCTTATCACTTGCGTGTGTGCTTTATTATAGGGTTTTGAAATGGTAGTTAGATATAATTAACAGGGAAGCCATTTATAGTAGAATGGAACACCTTTGTAGAGGTAGCAACTTTCTTTAGGGAACTATTATTTCAGTATTAATTACCTAACATTTTTTAGGCAAGCGGTTTCACATTATAGTTTTAATTAGGGGCTGTTTACCAATGCTTACTCGGTAAGCGCTTATGGGTAAGAATCAACACTTTCATTTAACTTAGCAGGTAAGACTTTAGTCCATTAAAATGACATCATATGCAACATTTTTATCCGGTTACTGGATGAGACTCTAGGTCCTTGTTATCGTTCTTACCAGGGTAGATTCTCAATCCTTGATATGTTCATCCTATATGTAAGATAAAGTTACCGGGTAAGCGTTTAGTAAACGGCCTCTTAGTGATCTTTCAATTGCAAGTGCATCGAAGCTTAATTGTTGCATTTAATTACCATGTGTTGGTTTGTATTTTTCATCTAGTTAAACATGATTTATTTGAAGACTAAAACGTAACACTATTCTGTAGAAATTTGTGTAAATTTGGTTATATATGATCTAGTCGGTTTAGGACTCTTTGTAACCACAAAATCGTCCTCTAAACGTGTCCATAGATAAGTTTTACCTAAAACTACCTTTTCAATTGCCAAACATTTAGATTTTATATACACGTCTATACTTATATATGTGTGCATGTATTAGAGAACATAGTTATGTGGCTATTCTATATATAGATGGATCGAAATTGCATTAAGAACATGTTAGAATGTATTGTTAACGATACTTCAAAGACAAAAATGAAGGGTATCAGCGTGGGAAAATTCTCTCGCAAATCTGTCGCTAAAAGGGTCTTCCATTTTTATATAACCTTTATTTTTATTTGTAGTTCTCTAGGTTGTCTTTCTTTCTAGCTCTAACTAGATTTAGTTTCGTCTTAATAATTATAATGTTCCATAAGAAAATAACGTGTTAGGTTATCCAACAACTTATTGTAATATCTTTATATAAGACATACAACTATTGATCATTTGCTACAACAACATTGGGTTTATAGCACTACAAAGCAGTAGGCTTTTTGCGAGAGATTTTCTTAATGATAAATAAAATAAATTTTCTGTCACAAATCCGACACTAATCCGCCACAAAATTTAATTAGAACTAAAATCTTTATAAAAATTTGTGGCAAAAGTCAACAAAAGTGGAACGTTTATGGACTCTTGCTAGAAATCTCTCGATAATTTTTCGACGAAAAATCCGCCAGAAAAATCTGTCCATGAAACCCTTTATTTAGTATTGAGAGATGTTCAAAAGAATATATCAAAAACCGAAGATAATTTTTTGTAACATTTTGTTCTTAATATTTCATAATATAATTGTATGAGTTGTAATGCTCATTTATTCGGATGCGTGTGTGTGTGCGCACGCGCATGTGTGTGTGTGTCGTTTAGAGCCATAGAAGAGTCATCTATGAAGTTCGGTTGAATTAAATGTCTTTTCCAAAATTCTTTTAGAAGGTATTTAATGGGTTAGGGTCGTTTTAGTAAATGTTTATCAAGTCACATTAATTACCTTATCGGATGAATATATTAAGGACCGAGAATCTTACCAGGTAAGAACAATGATAAGGACCAAACTAGTCCCATCCAAAATCAATGTCTTGGAGGGTTTTACAATGTCGAATCATGTCAAAGCAAGACTAGCGGACATGGTATAGACCTTGATATTACTATTTGTCCACTATGTAAGCACATCGTGGAGACAGTAGATCATACCATTTTCTTGTGTGACGTTTCTGCTGTGATTTGGAGAAGACTGGAAGGCTGGTGACAATTTCATTTCTCTTCTTTTCATTTCTTTGGAGCGGCGTTGGAAGGAACAAAGATGGCCCACATTTCTTTGTTGAATCGTCAGTGCTTGGAGGCTATAATGTTCATTATATGGAGCATTTGAAATAGAGCTGCTTTCGATAAATTAGAGCCAAAGAAGGACGTCACTTCTGATTTGATTATTGATAACTATTTTAAATGGAAGTTGTTTAGGCATAAGGCGAGCCTAAAAGATGTATTGTTGTGGAGAACTTGTCTTTTTCGTTGTTTTGAGCCTCTGTATCTTTTTAATGAATTGTTGTTTTTAAAAAAAAAAAACAATGACAAAAACCGAGAGTCTTACCTAAATATCCTTTTGAGCTCCTACTTCATGAATGATATTTTTTGAAATCTAATTTTAAAATTGTATAATCCAAGCCCTGTCACTTATTAAATTTAAAATATTTTTATTTAATTTTTTTATTTAGTTTTTTTATTATAATTATTAGAACTTTTTATTTCTCTATGATATAAAAATATATACAAATATTCAGCGGAGGAAACACATCCGATCATTAATTAAAATACTTAAAATAAGAGTTAATTTAATTAATATTTTATTTGGTTTAGTAGTCTGTTTCAGTTTTTTAATTAAACTAGTTTTGTACCCGTGCAATGCGGTAAGAGCTGTGAATTTTAACAATTTTGAAGTTTCACTGATTTTATTAGAGAAGATTTAATGATAATATAAGTTACATTTGGTCTTTACATGTTAATACAATTTGAATAAATAAGAGTTATGGTTTCAATTACAGTCTATCGATGAAAAAAAATTGTATAACAGTTTAAAATCTAATATATTTAAAATCCAACATATTTAAATGACTCCACAAATGTGTTCAATTTACAACAAGAGCAAAGAATCAAAAGATCGAGAGCGAGACCGGGAGTTTTAAAGCAATTGAATGGGAGGTGAATGAGAAAACTTTTAAAAACTCATGGTGAATATTAATTTGAATCTCACCTTGCGGATGAGGAGATGACATAGAGGTATGAGAGGTTGACATAGAGGTATGAGAGGTTGAAGGCATGAGTGAAATGTGTCAAACGTATCTTGAAAACATAAAAAGAAAATGTAATAATGTGCATAAAATAATAGTACTTAATGCATTATGAGTTGTTTTTAAGACTTTAAGACTTTGTACATAAATATGTGTATTTTGTGCATTAAAATTTGTTTATAAAACTTTTTGATAAATTTACTTTAAAGTAATATAGATAATCAATCAACTAATTAATATACACATAAAATAATCTAAAGACTACAAATATATAGAATCTGAAATATTTCAACACGTAATATGAACATCGAATCCCATCACCCTTTATTTCTCCTCCACCTGCCTCGCCGGCCGGCCGGTCGATAGTGTCGACGTTCATACTGCCCTATGATGTGGGGCACCTGGACAAGCCGGAGGGATGTTTTGACCGACTACTCTGGGCTTGACGTGAGAACACTCAGAGATGGCACCTCCTCCTCCTTTATATGTCAAGTTGATACCAGACACCTCTATGTTGTCGCATGGTAATCCTTGGTTACAAACAATCCGCAACGCCACCTTTGTTGCCGATGTTCCCCTGATCTTCTTGAAGCTCACGTTTGATATCTTCACTCTCGACGGAGCACCTTTCTAGTAGTCATAAAAGGAAATTACTACTTCAACTCTATATATGTGAATAACTTCTAGCTAATATTGGTTTCATACCTTGCAAGTATTATGAGGGCAGTATTGTTGATCGATCAATATCGGATTTTCTACGTTGTTCATGATGATATCTTCGAAATGTATGTTGGTGGCGACTCCTGGGGGAGAATTAGGCCAGGTCTTGATCCTCACTCCGTTCGTGGTTCTCTCCATGGTGCAGTTCTTGATCCAGATTCCATCTACAGGTTGCTCATTTGCATATTTGCCCAAGCTTCCGATACTTACGCCATGTCCAGGTCCGCAGGTCAACCTCTCCACATGGATGTTCTTGCTTCCATCTCCAAAAGAAATGCAATCATCACCGGTTTGTATCTTTGAATTAGTGATGTTGAGCCCGTTTGTCCGCCCGATGTGCATTCCATCTGTGTTGATGCTTTTGTCCGGTGCAAAGATGGTAAGATGATCAACGATGGTGTTGTCACAACCCAATATGTTGATGTGAAAGTATTTGCTATTGAGAGACGTTATGTCTTTCAACAATGAATTCTTGACGTAACTGAATCTGATATTCTGAGACAGGAACGTATGGATGCGGAGAAATTAAGGTTGGCAATGGCATGCTAACTCCAAAATCCGATCCACAGTTAAGTAATTTCCAAAGAAACAGTACTTACGACTGGTACTTGGCATGTTTGAGCTGTATCGGAGCATTTTTTAGACTTCCATGTTTCCTGGCCTTGGCCGTCAAAAGTACCACCAGTCATAGTCAACTTATTGATATACTGGACGGCAATCCAACTGTCGGATTTGAACCTTGCAAGCTCAGGTGGGGCCTTGATGGTGGCTCCGGTGGCCTTGATCTCAACCGGACCCTTGCATGGACCACCAAAAAGAATCGGAGGAAATGCCATATAAGTCCCAGGTGGAATCAACACCGAGCTTGGTGCTGGTCCTCCTGCGCATGCTTCTTTCCAAGCTTTCTCCATTGCCTAATAAACATCAACATCATTCGTGTATATATATATATATATATTAGATAGCAAAACACATCAATAAGAAACACATAAAAATAACCGATGGATGGATGTATATATGTCATGATTACCGGGCCATCGTTAGCTTTGCCATCTCCTATGGCACCTTTAGTTTTTATATTTACAACAACAGCGTGGTTCCTGGCAATCAATACCATAAGTAACAAGCAACATACTGCTTTACCCATTTGTATTGAAGTACGTACGTTCTTATTACTTGGGCATCCATTTTAGAGACTGGAGATATGAAATATATACCTAAGTAGAGGTACCAAGTTTCTTTGATTGGGGAACTATTTACCAAACATTTTTAGGCAAACCTTTCAGATAAGATTGAAGTGCATGGGAGTTTTAAGTTTATTTAGCCTTTTTTGTTTTATATTCTATCTTGTAATTATGATTCTATACATCTTTTGAAAGTTTTCGTTTCGTTATCTTGGAAACAACTTCTCTATCTTTTGATCATGTATGAGGAATAAAAATCCTCTTGTGGCCACGCAAGTTCAAATGCGGTGACTCCGGGCTATCTGCAAAGCAAGTGGTTCCCCTGAGATTAGTCGGCTCACATAGCGGGTTGGATATTCAGGTTAATAAAAAAAGGGTTTTTGTATATTTTACTCGTTTAATACCCTAACTTCAATAAAATATACCAAGTTTGTTTGTTTGGTTAATTAAGTTTGGAAGCTTAGTTGCATTATCAAGTGGTTAATTAGGATATCAAGTAATTAAAACCACAAAAGAGATTTCTAAAACTTATGCTTAGGTTGGTTAACCTAAAAATGCCAAACACCTGAGATTTATCTATTTTCACCGTTGATATAATTTGTACTGATCTATGTGAGAATTGACGTCAACGCTATTATGTTTACATTTCACAAAATTCGTTTATTATCTTACAGTTCCTATATATTGGAGATCAATAACCTAGATTTGTTTGATAATCACGATATTTGATAATCTTTATTCAATGATTTAACATTGTAAAACGTTATTGTTTCAATACTTAATGTATTCATGTTTTGATGTTTGAGAGATATTGGTGGTATATGATACGCTCTTATGACATTTTGGTGCAGATGCATATTAGACACATTTGAGAAACAAGATACAGAAAAATCAAACGAACATGTTAAACAGTTTTACCATGAAGTAGTGTAACATCCCCTTTCCTAGATGAAAATTAAGGAGTATGTTGCTTCTAATACAAAAACACTGGCATTTAGTGTAATACCAATCAGTAATTTAATCATAACTCCGTGCATGAAAAGATCAACACTCAACTTACGTATATACTGCTTTAATTTCAGTATGTGTAAAAATAAAACTTGTTGCACATAATACAACACGTGTAAGATGCAACATGATCCATTGATTATAGTTGTAGTTATTATGAATTAACAACATCGATAATTTATTGATTTTGATCTTGTATTTATCAATTATGTCAGTTTTCCTGAAATAACAAATTTATATTAATTAATTTCAGTATTTGTAAAAATAAAACTTGTTGCACATATAACATTCCCATGTATTCAGAGCTTCCTCTCTCCCTCTTTGATGATTCTTAGGGGCTGTTTGACAATTGCTGAATGGTTTGGTGCAGAATAATTAAGTGGTCAGAATGATTAAGAGACTCTCATGATATAGTGCAAAATGAAATATAATTGTTTGGTAATTGTGTACAATGAAATTAGGGATCTTAATGGTTAAGGAAAATCCAGGATACAAAATCATTCAGAAGATTTTAGAACCATTAAGAGGCAGACTTTTTTTTTTTGCCAAACAATATTCACCTCTTAACGATTCAGATGTTGCCTCTTAATGGAACTATTAAGAGGTAAACAAACAACCTCTTATTCCTAATCCCTTTCATTGAAAGATCTCTATTTCTATTTGTATTTCATCGACATACATGGATTTGCTTCTACACATCTCCCTTCTAAAACTTTTATGCTTCTCCCTCTCTTGTCGTCTCCCTATTAAGGGTTTTTTCTTTCGATTGTTCTTCTTTAATTTTTATTATACTCGATAGGTTCCCAATGATGTTTGGTATGTGCTCAATAGTGATGAGGATGACAATGATGACACAAATCAAGATCTAATCTTATTATTGTTAGAAGATCGTCCGATAACAAATTGCAACATAGAGCCATTTTTGCTTAAAAATGAAACAGGAAGTTATTATGAATATCTTAAGAAAATATTATCTCATTGTTGGATGCTCAATCGATAAGAATGTCTTGATTGGATTAGGTGCAAAGGGTTCTAATACTAAGAAGCATCACAACTTGGACACAGAAGTGTGTACTTGTTTCAATAGCTTTCTTTTCAGTGTGTTGTTGTGATATCTGTTTTCTTTAATTAACACATTCTTTTCTGACCAACACATACAGAAAGGTTTAAATTGAAAAAAAAAAAACTATATCAGTAAAAATGAGAAATTATGTGTTGATTTTTTTATGAAGTTCGGGTTAAACTAATGATTTATACTGATCTAATGCGTGCATGTGTGCCAAAGAAGTCCGAGTGGCTTAATCGAGCGACCTAAGTCACACCAGTGTCATGCCACATGCCAAAGGAGGTCGGGCAACTTAAGTTGCACTACACGCCTTGTTGCACACCTCGAGTGTTTTAAACCCATTTTTCTTAGGGATTTCCTCATTTCTCCTCATCATCTCCTCCCTTCTCCTCTTCTCACCACCATGGAAGATTTTGGTTGCCTTAAGGCCAAAAATTGGAGGTTTTGTAGAGCATTTTGGAGAAAATCTAGCCTAGTGGTTTAAGAGATTTTGTTTGGGATCTTCGAAGTTTTTTTAAGTTAAGACTTTTAGGTACTTTGGGATCTACCTTGGGTTTTGTTATGGATATGATATTGTGATTGCTTTTGGCACCTTTGTAGACTTGAAGTATTGTCTTGAGATGATTTATGGAGGCTTTTATTTGGATCACAAGTCTTCATCGTTGGAAGCTAGAGTTTAAGTTTGGAATCTAGGTTTAACTTAACCTAGTAAGGTGAGTTCAAGTTGCTTTATGAAAACTTTGTATATGCAAAAAATATTTATTTTGGAGTCTTAAAGTGTTTTCCTAATGATTTATCAGATGTGGGTTAACTTGATGAAATTGCACAGTTTGCATATTTGGTTTAATAAAACCTTAAGAAATACATATATTTGGTGGTTTTGGGTATTTCGATAATAAAACATAAAGTTTTGCGAGTTTTTGATGATTTTTGTCATATCGATTTTATAAAACATTTGAGAAAAATACATACAATGGTGTTGATGGGACATTTTTAGGTGTCATCACTTATTGAGAAATGCTTAAAGTCTTGGTGTATTTTAGGATTTTACCCAACCATTGAATCGATAATAAGGATATTTAAATATTTTGGGGATTGGGTATTTGTATTTCATTGGTTCATATTAAATTTTATTGAATAATCAAATGAGTTGTTGAGCTATTGGCTTGGTTTTGACTCAGACGAGTTTTGAGGACATTTGTCTGGTTTAAATTGTTCAATGTTGAGTTTTAGACGCCATTTGCATTTATCGCATATTTATATAGGAATTACATGTTTTGAGTGTGTTACTCATTCTTTTAAAATCATGTAATTTAGAGTGTATTGCATTTGATAGGCATATGAATCACTCTTTTTTTAGTGAGGAGTTTTGATGTTCTCACTTGGACACCAGTACTTAAGTAACTTATGTGTTTGTCGCAATAATGTGGAGAGGAGTTATTATGAGTTTGACTCCAGGACTGTATGTTCGTTATTGCAGAGATGAGCTCTTATGAGTTGGACTCCAAGACCGTAATCGGTATTACATAGAGGAACATGTGCGGGTTGGACTCTAGGACCTTGGGTATTATGGAGGTGATCTCTTGTTGAGTTGGACTCCGAGACTCTGGTATTACGGTGATGAACTCATGAGGAGTCGGGCATCGGAACCGTTGTTTTTTAGGTTTTAGCCAAGTAGAGTTGACATTAAGTCATCGGGGTATTTTAGGGATAAACTCATGTGGAGTCAGGACCCCAGAAGGTTGGAGGTATTTTATTCTCTTTAATTTGATACTCATGTTGATATTATTTTTTCAATTTCTATAACCCGTATTTTAAAATTTCGATCATGAGTATATCTACATATGTGTATATTCATACAATAGTTTTATTATATTGTACAAATTTTTTAACTTATCATTACATAAATAAAACTTATAAATATATTTGAACTTTACTATAAGGGTACTCGTGCAATGCATCAAGACATATCTCGATTTCAATGTCTCATTATATTATTTATCTATGTCGATATAATACGGTTTTATGTGGTTTTGAGAAAGCGATAATGTTTTTATTTTTGAATAAAATATAAAATATCATAAAATTTTGAAAAAAAAATATATGGATATTAGTATTAAATTAACTATTTAAAGTTCTTGTTTTGTGTAATTTCTTTAATTCAATTTTTATTATAATTTAATTTAAAGTAATTTAATTTAGGTTTAATAATATAATTTTTTTTTATAAAGATGATAATTAAGTATTCTGTTAGAACTCAATAATTATCCTAATTATATTTTAGATTTTTTATATTTAAAATGAGATGTTTATCGTGTATTGGATTATGTTTATCTGCAGTTAGTTACACGAATTCAAATATAGAGCTTTACTAAGTTGTACTTATGCACAATTTACTTGTAATTTTAAATTTTAAGTAATATGCATCAATAAACAGTACTTCGTGCATAAAAGATAGTTTTAAGAGTTTTTTGTCAAATGTTTTATAATATAGTATAGATCAAACAAATTAATAAACATATTCAAATACAAAATCATCGTTGAGTCTTATTAATACGACAAAATACTCCCTATAAAACTGACAACAAATAGAAGAGTCTCTCACTCTTTCATAACCACACAAATTTATAAAATAAAATTAAAAAAAAAAGCCAAAAATGAAGATTTATTATGTTCATTAGGCCTCCACGATTGGGCTCGGACCATGTAGATTGGGCCAACCTAATTGTTGTAACAAATGTTGTGGCTTTTTTTGGGTTAATGCAAGTACATTAAACCGTAACAAATACATGTTGAAACTAAAAAATCGTTTATATATAGAGAGAGAGAGAGGAGCGATCAAATGAAAACCACCTTCATTTGTACAAACCACTCTCATACGTTGATTTT